TAAACTTAGGTAGAAATTTAATTTTAAATAGATTTACTTGGCCTATTAGTAAATGTTGTAAGAGAGGATGAAGATTGTGCAAAAGGTATTTCGTCAAGCCGCGCTGCACCCGTCACACCCAAGTATTTAAATTTAGAGACCGATTTAATAGGGGCAAAAGAGATGTCAGGCAAGGGGCCCGCCACAAGAGGAAATAATAATGATTCCTCCCAATTTATGCGCATCCCGGATTGGCTGCCGAAGCGATCGATAAGATCCAGTGCCATTCTAAGGGATGAGCTGCAGACCTTGAGATATAAAAGAGTGTCGTCTGCATACAAGGATACTCTATCCTCCCACTCACCCACCAGTAACCCGTGTAAGGTTTTGAAGGAGCGAATCAAGTAAGCCAAGGGCTCGATCTTCAGGGCGAACAGACCCTGCAAAAACGAGCAACCCTGACGAGTGCCCCTATGGAAAGCGATAGGGGGAGAGAGATTATTATTAGAACGCACTCTCGCAAATGGCGCACTATACAAGCATCTAACCCAGGAGATGAAATTGGGGCCAAATCCGAAATGTTGCAGAGTCTCCCAGAGATATTCCCACTCCCAACGAATCGAAAGCCTTTTCGGCGTCCAGGGACAGCACCATACATCGCTGTCTCGAGCCACAGAATGTGAGTGAACAGTCTCCGTATGTTGATGTCAGTGCCCTTAACTGGCATAAAGCCCATTTGGTAATGGTGTACCAATATAGATATAACCAAGCCCAGTCTTCCAGCAAGTACTTTAGTGACTATTTTCGCATCAGTGTTCAACGGGAGATCGGTCGATAAGAGGAGCATTGGGCTGGGTCCTTCCCAGTATCACGTACCTGGTGCTGGAGGCCAATGGAGAGAGGGCTTCCCTTGCAGCTAAGTTCTGGACTCCTCTGAGAGTGGGACAGCGGGAGTCAGGCCCAAAGTTGCACAGGTCGCCTGCAGGAGTGCTGGTTGGTGGGCCACTCAGAAGCACAGCTGGTGCACGAAGATAGGTCTGCAGACAGGAGGCGCCTGTGCGTGGCATGCAAGCCCTTCCGGGATTTAGATGTTTACTGGGTAGTCGGTTCAAGCCAAGGTCATGTACCAGGTGGGAATCAGAGCAGACGTAGTCAGATGGGATAGCCAAGGTCATACACAGAGGAGCAAGAGAGAGTATCCGTAAGCCAAGCCGAGGTCAGATCAGGGGTAAAGCAGAGTAGACAGGTCCAGCAGCAAGCCGAGTCGGTATCAGGAAATCACAGGTCACAATCACAGGAAACAGGAAACAGGAAACAGGCACGGGGAACTAGAGATCATCCAGCAACTTGAGGAAGTGATGAGCCTCCTTATAAAGGCCGTCTGGCACCAAACTGAGGCTGATGCGTGCTTCTGCGGCCATGCAGGGTACTGGCAGAAATGCCAGATCTTCCAGAGCTTCTGCCTTGGACAGGACCCTGACACCCAGGCTTCAAGATCACCACTATCACCACCTGGAGCATAGAAGGGGGCAAGTTTCCTGTCTCAAGTTGTACATTAAGAAGCTTGCCAGCTGTTCAATATATATTTTATAGAAGTCAATTGGAAAGCCATCCGGACCAGGTGTTTTACCAGATTGGAGAGCACCAATCGCCTGCTGGATCTCCTCCAAAGAAATCGAAGCCTCCAACTGTTCCTGCTGGGCCAGGAGAGAGATGATGGCAGTTCAACACAATCCAGATAGCAGGATAAGTCCTGAGGCGTGTAAGCAGCTTTAGAGGAGTACAAGTTTGCATAGTAGTCGGCAAATCGACGGTTGATTAAGACTGGATCAAGGATCCTAAAACCGTCCTCAGCCTGAATAAGGGTGTTCTTAGTCAAGGCAGTTTGTTCCCTAACCAACCAAGCCAAATGGTTGCCTGCTTTATCCCCATCCTCAAAGATACGCTGCTTTCGATGGAGCAACACCTTCCTGGAGACCTGTGTGCATAGTAATAAAGCTTCCCTAACCGCCAGTTGTAAATTGTGGTGATTAACAGAATCTGGATTGATCGCATAATTAGGTTTAGGCTTCCTGTACCCGCCGGTTCTCCCAGTCCACCTCCGCCCATCGGCTAACCTGCAACCCCACAATTAGGGTCTGATACTGTCCTCTAAGGGTAGCCTTACCTCCCAAGTAGTAGTTGGTAGACATTGTTCTGTGTGAAGCTGAGCGACAGGTATAGGGCCTGGTCCCAGGATTTTCTCCACAGTCTTTCCCCCCAGGGCACCTCCACAAAGTCCGTTAATGGGTAAAGCCCCTCCCACTAGCATAACATTGGCCAACTGTGAAGCTGAACGACAGGTAAAGGGCCCTTTAAAAGCCCCGCCCACTTGAATTTTTTCCGTGAGGTTCCATCACGCATTGTTACAGTCTCTCTCTTTTCACCTACCTACATGATATCTTATGGAGCAGACAGGGAAGGGTACAGGGAACTATTATTGAGCCTTGGTGCCCAATATACAGCCCACCATGTTCTGGGATAGGTCTGCCACCTGTTGGGCACATGTAGGCAGTTTGCAAAGTGGCAGTTTGTAGTATTGCCAGGCAGAGTATTGTCCTGGCTGGATGAAAGAGAAAGAGATTGCAACGCAGGAGCATGTGATCAGATAAGCACTGACCAGCAATGGGGGATAGGAGTTGACAGGACTGCCACTGACCAGCAAAGCAAGGGTGTCACAGACCACCAGCGAAGAAGAGTTAATAGTACTTACACTAATGCTGAGAGTTATTACTGCAGTTATTCAAATCAATACTGGGGGATATTAGTGTGCGCACTGACACATGAGTGGACTATTATTTTGGTTACTGACACAAATGCTGAGGATTTTTATTGCAGTCTCTGACACCAATATTAAAAGTTATCACTACGGCCCCTTGAACCAACACTGATGGGTATTATTGTGGCCCGACACCTATACTGCATTATTATTGCAGCATTGACACCATTGCTGGGTGCTATTGCGTCCAATAACACAGATGCTGGGAGTTATTATTGTGCCCACCGATGAGATAATTACTGTGGTCACTGACACCAGTGCTGAGGGTTATTATTGCAGCCCCTGACACCAATACTGAGGGTTATTGTCGCGACCCATGACACCAATACTGAGGGTTATTATTGCGGCCCCAATACTGACACCAATGCTGAGGATTATTACTGTGGCCCCTGACACCAATACTGAGGGTTATTATTGCGGCCCTTGACACCAATACTAAGGGTTATTATTGCACCCCTGCCACCAATGCTGAGGGTTATTATTGCACCCCTGCCACCAATGCTGAGGGTTATTATTGCAGCCCCTGACATCAATGCAGAGGATTATTACTGCAGCCCCTGACACCAATACTGAGGGTTATTATTACAGCACTGACACCACTGCTGGGCCCCAATTGCTGAGAGTTATTATGGTGGTTATGGGGTATCTTTAAAGGCTACGTTCACCTTTAGTAGCATGTTACACCCATACTTAGGGGGTAACATGTTACTAATGCAGCAGCCCTGCTCACCCCCCAATCCCACATTGTGAGAGTAAGCAGAGGATCTTCTCCCTGCACCAACTGTCAGAATTTAAAAACAGCATGTCAGTGTGGGACTCCTGCACAGCCGCATCATCCAGTCATACAGATCTGCGAATTAATGAACTACAAGTCCGGTCTCCCATCGCAACAGACAGCTGGTAGTTCTCACTAAACTGCGAGGGTGCTGGTATATTGCTCTCGTAGTTCATGGACACTTCTGCACTTCAATAACTGTCTGTATGGGAGGTATGGGCAGACATGAGTGTCTGCAGGGAGCATGGTATTGCATCCGCAGTCTGCTGATTGGAGGTGCAATGCTTTTCCGACTCCTAGGAAAATATAAATGCATGTACATTTTATTTGCAGGTAAAAAAATGTGCATTTAATTTTTTTTTAAGTGAACTTAACTTTTATTTTAGATTCCCCTGTCTTTAGCAGAATGTACAGTAGGGGGACCCTTGTTTGTATTGTCTATCCTGCTGAATGAGGCAAGAATGAACTGTCTGGATATATTACATAATGTTTCTTTACCAGCAGTGAGGAAGCAGGAACTGACAGCGAGGTGATGGCAATGTCCTCCAAAGTACATAAGAAATTAATGAATATAACTATTCACACACACACAAGAGCCATCGGGATTATTCTAGCTCATAGGCATCATATTTATAAGTGTAAGGCGACCTCAAGAAACGGAGCCGGGAGCCGTGCATCTGCCCTTCAAAATAGAATTATTAATAGCGTTTCTTTTATAGTAAAGCCTTCCATAGCAAGATCAGCTGCTGGGAAATGGATGGAAGAGTGTCCTGTTGCAATCGTGTGTCGTGTTTCATTGTTAAAAGTATCTGTAAACCTAAAATATAAATTACTTTTATGCAAAAGAGCTGAAATGTGTTGGCAAAAGCTCCAAGATTAAAAAGCAAACCTGTCTGCTGGATGAAAGTTTTAAATGGGTAAAGAAAGCTTCTTCAGGGGTCCACCCATACAATCTGTTTTCTCAAAACTGCAGAAAATTGCAACGCTCTTTAATGCCAGAAAAAAAAAAAGAAAAAAAAAGTGTACTAGGCCAAAGAGAGCACCAAACACAAAAACCTTAGGAGTCCAAAGTCTTTACTGTGCAACTGGTCAAAATAAGAAGGGCAAAAAGACCCTTTCATCGTGTCTTTATCACCCTTTTATGTGCATTATTGTAAACTTTTTCCTCCAGTTCCGATGAAGGAGGATTGGGTGACCCCTGAAATGTGTTGGGCTGTCCTTTGCCCTGCTTCTTGTAACCAATTAAACAAAAAAAAAAACTCCTAAGGATTTTTCATTTGGCGCTTTAACCTATTACACATGGATTTCTCAGATCAATGTACTCCCTTGGGAGGTCCTGGTCTTTGTGATGATCTGCTGAATACAGGCCAGTTGGACTCAAGTCGTAGCTCTGTACGTATTTTGATGACCTGTGAAAATTCCTGTCCAATGCCCCAGTCACAGATCGGTATGAGGAGCCTGAAATGATGAGATGTAACCTCATGCACAATTTCCAAGCATTCCCGAAGTTTGAGACAGTACTGCTGGGGAAAAGAGAGAACGCAGGTGCCAGGATATTGGAACCATAGACTTGAACTTGGGAGTGCTGGTGACAGGTAAGCAGAAGTGCAGCGATGAGGACACCCTGGGTTCAACCAAACCAATAGAGAACAGAGCTGGGTCACAAGCCAAGTTTGGCAACAGCAGGATCAAGGTCGAGAGATGAGCAGAGGTTACAGAAACAATAGACAGAATCTTGGTCAAGAGTTCAGGCCATGGACGGTAACACAGGTATGTAGCAGACATAAACAGACAGGGGTATTCCTGAGGCAGGCCAGATGAAAACCAGGTCAATAAGAGTCAGGCAAGATTTAGGATAACAGATATACAGGCTGAAAGACCATCCAGCAATGATCCCATGCAGGTCTCAGGTTTAAATAGTCCACGAAGTGCTAGAATCTGTGGTGGACGTGCCCATGCATGCCATTTCTATATGCTTGCACACAGGGCCGATGCTACCACTAGGAGAACTAGGCAGCTGCCTAGGGCGCAGCCACGGCTGCTGTACAAGGACAGCCTGCACAGCATATGTACACTGACATGCTTTCACCTAAACAGGAAGATGACCTCCGTCCTCCTTGCCACCATTCAGTTAAGCCCGGCTGACTAATCACAGGTGCTGATGTCAGTAGTGGGCGGGCCAGGGTTACCTTTCACCCCTCGTAAAGCTATATGGCATGGATGGCTGGGGCTCAGCCATTGTAATGTCTGCTTCCCCCATGGAGGAGTGAGCATGGTCCGGTGTGCCAGGCCTGGCCTTCACTTCCAGTCATGATGCCGGGCAGCGTGGAGTCACTGTGCCGCACACTGGAGAACTTGTATCACGGCAGTGCAGACTCCAGCTAAGGTTACTTGGGTGATGTGTGTCCAGGTTCCCCCCTCCCTGGGCACATAGATCAGGAGGCCGTATGTGAGTGGCCAGAGCTGGCTGTGCTGGAGCTGTCAGTGTCAGGTCAGAGGATTGAAGCTCTTCTGTCCTTCCTGCCGGTCACTGCAACCTCTGGATGGCTTCTCTATCCTGCACTGGTAAGAAACCCTACTGACACCATCACCAAAGGGGGTCACCTGATATAACCTCCAGCATAAGGGTGCAAAATAGTCTAGCATTGGCCCTGCATGCACACTTTCCCTATAGAAATATTCTCTTTTTAAGCATTCATAGAATGAAACTTAAACGCATGTGAAATATAAAAATCTCAGTGCTTTCTTTATTACAGTGTCTTTGTAAGACTTTCACAAATTCAATAGTCCTCTTTTTGGAGATATTCCACCAACATCAGTCATGCATGTGCCACCATCAGACATGCTCTCCCATAATGGAATGAAACCTGCCAGACACATAGGGGTTTATTTACTAAAGCTGGAGAGTCCAAAATCAGACTCCCTTCTGCATAGAAACCAATCAGACATCAGCTTGTTCAATGAAGCTTTGGCAATGAAACCTGCTGATTGGTTTCTATGCAGAAGGGAGTCTGATTTTGCACTCTCCAGCTTTAGTAAATAAACCCCATAGTGTGGGTCTCATGCAAGTTCCCAAGTTAAGTATTTTTCCGTACCATCAGTTAGGCTGAGGGCCTCCATGATTCTGGTCTGCTCCCGGTTGCTATGGGAGACAGACTACTAGGGAGGGAGTCCAAAAAGCATCCACCTCATTAACGGAATACCTCACCTTCACCAGGTACCATATCTCGACTGGTTGCTTAGTGTCTTCTGTTGGACTTACAGTTAGGTCCACATATATTTGGACACATGCACAATTTTAGTTTTTTTATTTACCAAAACATATTCAAGCTATAGTTATATGGGCTGAATATGGGATGAAAGTGCATACTCTCAGGTTTAATTTGAGAGTATGTACATCCAAATTGGAGGAAGGGTTTAGGAATTACAGCTCTTAAGAGTAACCATATCCCCTTTTTCAAGGGACCAAAAGTAATTGGGCAATTGAATCAAAAGCTGTTTCATGGCCAGGTGTGAGCTACTTCTTTGTTATTTCTTTATCTATATATATATATATATATATATATCTTTATCAAAACTAAAATTGTGCCTGTGTCCAAACATACGTGGACCTAACTGTAGTTACCCTTAGCAACAACCTTACCCCCCCTTTAGCATGCTTGCTTGCTAGGTACATTCACTAGACACAGTAGTGTAGTGCACTTCATACCCTTCTAGTGCTATTAAAAACTCACAGTAGTTTAGCATATCAACCATATGACACTAATGCATCCCTTTTAGTAACTTCAGACCAGGCTCAACTCAGTTATTAAGCTTTACTGAAGTCTTGCAGAGTATCATAACAAAGCTCCAGAACATCCTAACCCTCACTAACGGTCTGTTTAGTGGCTGCCCAGGCATACCTTTGAAAGCAGAAAGTCCACTAACTGGTGGAAGCCCATACTTGGCAGTGCTCCAGCCTCTACTGGGACTACAAGGCGCTGAAGTTGCCCGTGCGGGCTCCTCTCTCCCTCCAGGCAGGTGATTGCTGTCTACACATCTTCTTCTGTGTGCGCCTTGCTGCTTCCCATGTGGCAGGACTCATCTGGGCAGAGCCTTCCCCCTTTTTATATGACACAGGGAGAAGGGCAGAACCTTGCAAAAAAGCCCACAAGCCTGCAGAGATAGCATTAACTCTTCCCTAGCCTGGCTCACTAACATGATACATTTTCCTTTTAGACAGCTGATTACAGCCTGCCTAGATTTCGGTTTGTTTTTTTGCATACAATCATTATGTCACGTACCTGGATACTGAGCCTGACGTGAAGAGGCAGGCCTCCCATACAACTCCGGCTCAAGGACTGCTGATGGTGGGACAGCAGCCGCAGGAACACGATGGGTATGAGTGCCTGTGATCAGTCCCATAGTAGTTGGTAGGCAGGTGAGCTGCAGGGCAGGTTGAAGGCAGGGAGCAGGATCCGGATGCAGCCGTGCTGGATGGATGGATCACTGAGGGTTGTTTTGAGGATGCAGGGTCAGACGAGCCGGGTTCGGTAGCGGTCAGGCAGATCAGGCATAAACGGCAGGAGGAAGAGTAGTCAGGTCACAGGCCAGGTCAGCAGCATTAAATCAATCAGGAGCGGAGACAGAAGGGTAATCCAAGACAAGCCAGAAGTCAGGGCAGGTAGCAATCAAGCAGAGGTCAGAAACAAGCTGGTTCAGTATCAGGAGTCAATCACAGGAATCAAGGAACACAAGCAGGGATAAGACCAAATGACAATGAGACATTTACTGCAGCCAGTTTAAATAGCACTTTTGGCGCCAGCATTAGTGACAGGCACGCGCCTAGATGCGCGAGTGCACATGCGTGCCTATGCCCAAGCACCCGCACATCTGCCCGGCTCAAAATAACTCTGCGCATGCTCACCGAGAGAAGGGGAAACTGAGGACATAATACTCTCAAGCTTCATCATTTGCCTGAAATACAAATACTGCTCATTAATAATAAAAGGTACACATTTTTCAAGAAATATACTGTTGCTGTGTGACCCTCAGGGATTTAATATGGCAGACTTGCACAATTACCAGCATGGCTACTATAAATAAAAATATCTGAATGGCTACTATAAATAAAAATATCTGAATGGCTTGAAAACATATGGCTTGAAAACATAATATTTTTATGGTAATGCATACTAAGGGGACTATGGAGGCCATTACAAGGGTAGAATATACGCCTTCCAACCTAACCAAGCCTGCTAGGCCATACCTTCCACCATCCCAGCTATACAAAATACACAAATCAAGTTTTTGGAGTAAAAATTGCCATTGCAGCCTTTTATTAACCAATAAATTATTTCAACATAGAGAACATAACATTCCAAATTATAAACAGAGGAAAAAGTGGTGGTCATTTGAGGGTGTCACGTACCTGATTGGAGACTGCCTCACTTGTGTCACTAGCCCTGACCCCACTGGAAGTGGAACAGAGGGTGTCTAGGGACCAGGGACACAAGAGTGCCAGCAGATGTTGTTTGCAGCTCTTGCAGTTGGAGAGTTTGGAAGACTGATGAACCTCCGATTCAGGCACAGTAGCGATATGCAGAGCTGGTATGGTAGGTCGCCAGAGCAAGGCAGGATGCTGGGATGGGAGACAGGAGCAATGTCATAGGAATAGCCAGGGTCATCAACGAGCGGACAGCGAGGTACCAAATCATAAACAAGCCAAAGTCAGGAGCAGAGCCGAAGTCAGGAATTAGTATCAAGCAGGAGAGTAATCAGAGTCAGGTCAGGAACAAGCCGGGTGTAAGGGACCGCCTGACAGCACCTCTATCAGTCCCCTGGTAGAGCCTCCCCAGAGTGCGGAGTCTAAGCACCGGAGCACTTGCTCACCAGGGCCCCTGATGGTGGGGATGGACTTGGAGCGCTCCGGTACCAGGTCGCAACTACCAGGTATCTCCAACAGGGGTAGAGGAGTCTGACAGGGGCTCCAGAGAGCTAGGAGTCTGATGTAAGGAGCCTAGTGATCCCTGCGGGGTGGATGGATGGATGAGCTAAATCAGAGTCATGCAGGCCGGGACGGTAACTAGAGGATCGGTAAGGTACAAAATGGTAGGCAAAGGACAGTCGGGTCACACACAGGGTCAATACCAGGAGGTCAGATCTAAACAGGAACATCCGGGAGCAGAGTCAGGCAAGCCAAAGGGTCAGGACGGAGAAGGCAACAAGGTCAAAACAATCCAGATCAGAAGTACTCACACACAGGTAACAGGATACAAGGGCCATTCGGCAACAAGTGTCTGTGCAGGGCTAGCTTAAATAGCCCGCCCTGCACCTGACAGGCGTAGCCTGGGTCCCAGTGCCTGCCTAGTACTGTCCAGACGACGGGTGCGCCTGGGTCCTAGTGCCCTGCCACCTATACGTCTCGGCAGACACCTACGCATGTGTAGACCCATGCGTCGCGATGGTTCCTGACACCAGGTCAGCAACAAGGAAATCACACAGGAACGAGCAGGAAACAGGGAACAGCTGAAGACCAGTCAGCACTCAGCACAGGCACCTTTTAAATAGCCCATCTGGCTCCAATCTTCGGCGTGCGTGTGCGTGATCGTGCATTTCTATGCGCTAGCCGTCTCACGGGAATTCCCTTACAGTGGGCCAAAAACCCAACTTTACTTTTGCAGAAAACATTCCTTCAACTTAGGCCCCCAGCCGAAACCCACCGGCTCGAGGACAATCCTACTTATCCCCAGCCACAACACACCGGCTAGAGGACAATCCTACTTATCCCCAGCCAAACACACCAGCTCGGGGATAACCCTACTTATCCGCAGTGACCTTCATTTTACCTATTCCGAGTTAATCCCTTGTTAACTGGAATGTACCAAGGTCCCATACCACTGATGGGTCCCTAATATGACCCTATACAGAATTCTTTCCTCCTCCAAAGACCAACCACCGCCAAGGCTGCCGTGACAATCTAAACCAAAGCACGAACGGGAGGGAGGGTGGGAAGCTTCTTCTTCTTCTTCCAAACTTCCCCCATTGGACTTCCTGAGGATAGATCCTCCTTTTCCTCCCTGGGAGACCCTCCCCAACATCCCCCATCCAATAAGGTAAGTCTTAATCCCCAAAACTTCCTTCCCAAAATTTAACCCTCTGTTGTCCCTCTATTTTTTTTTTTTTTTTTGCTCCAGGCCTACCTTTTATTGCTGACCACCTTCTGAAAATGTTATTTGCATGGCTGTGTCAGCCTAAATACTTTCCAAGACAGTAACAGGACCAGAAGTAGGCACACAGCATGACAGCCAGGGGGACTAGTATGATCAGAAGGAGAGGTCAGCCATGAACACATCTATATTTTCTCAGTCCAGATTTCCTTTCAAAGGGTCAATCCATCCAAAACTGATATTTCATTTTTTTTGGATGCTGGAGAGTTAAACCATGTAACAGTGTTGGTGAGATCACAGAGTTCTTGGGTTTACAGATCATCTGTGGGTATTGCATGCAGCTCCCTGTGTAACTCCTGGATTTTTTATAATAAAGGATAGGTTTACCTTTCAGTACACTGTAACGCCCTCCAGGTTAGCCAGATAGGCTGGGTTTTTGTTTTTTTAGGTGAGGCTAAGTAGCAGCCTGGGATGAGTCAGCCGAGGAGAGAGGTAGTGAGGTTACCTCAAGACAGGCTGGGAGGCTCTAACAGCTCAGGGCTTCTGGAGCCCTCCAAAATTTCCAGAAACCTGAGAGCTTTCTGGAGCAGGGGAGAGGAGGGAAGGAAATCCAAATCTGCATGTTTGAGGGAACCTGGGCAATCCCCTGGCAGGAGGGCTGAGAATGGTGTCCAGGGCAACCATCTAAAGTTGCTGAGCCTGTGCAGAGGTCGAAGATGGGGTGAGAGGCTAGAGTGTAGAGAATAGGAGGAGGCCCAAGGAAGGGGCCTACCTACAGGCAGGTGCTGGAGAAGAGGATGCCCACTATACCACCATCTCCAAAGGAAGACAATCCTTAGTAGCAGGGAAGGAACCAGCCCATTGAAAGGCCTACAGGTAGCCACCAACATATTGAGGTATCAGGAAAGGACAGTGAGTACTCTTACACCCCCTGGCTGAGGGAGAGGGCAGTCAGATGGAAAAGCCAACTGGTTTCTCATCTGGGACTGCTGGGCTGAATTGGCAATTTCTGATCCCAATTGCCCAGGGAATACCTTTGGTGCAGCTGGGTGAAGAGGAGGATTTATGGAGGTACACCAGAGAGCTGGAATGCTCTTAAAGGAGAAACATTTTTTGCCCATATCTGTGCATAGTTGCTAAGAAGCTTGTCCTCAATTTGCAGTTTCCTTGGGCATCCCATACACCCCTCATCCCCATCCAAGTTATTAACCCCTTTAATAAAATCACAAAACCAAGCTCAAGGACTGTTTACTGACTCTGAATGCAACGTGTGGAAGAAAATGTGTGTTGCCTGGTTGTGCAGAGCTTTAGGGGGACCCAAAACTCAGCAACTCCTAAGGGGATAGTGCTACAACACGCTACATTTTACACACATATTCAGGGTGTAACATGTAATGAATACATCTGCCCCCATTCCCCCGCTTGGACAGCTAGTGGGGAATCTTCTCTCTCCTCACTAGTTGTCAAATTAAAAAAAAACATGGCCATGTGGGGCTCTGCCCGCCCGGCCGTGTCACTCATTTACAGTTCTCTGTGAATGAGAAACTACAAGTTCCGACTGCCTTAGCGGCTGTGGGCTTGTAGTTCTCAATGAACTAACATGGTTCTGTGGATAACCGTGGTAATTCATCGATTCTTCCTGTCAGTATATCTGCTTGCTCGTACATCCCGTATGGGCAAGCAGATATGACAGGTCTGCAGGAGACCTCATTGGCACCAGCCATCTGCTGATCGCTGGTGCAATGGTTTCCAGACTCCTGCAACCAAAAGTAAATAAAAAAAATGTGCATTTATTATTTGTTTGGTAAAAAGGTAAACTTATCCTTCAAGGAGAACAGAAGGAGCTGGAACACACTAAGGTGGGCAGGAACACTCAAAACTCCTAAGGGGACCAAAAGAGTCTCTGGAATTAGGCAGGAAAATCATAAGGTTGAAGTTTGCAAGACCTATAAAAAGGCAGAAGACTATAACAAAGCAGAGGGCTAACTGAGTCTAAAACGCTCTAATACTAAAATGTTATCTTTGGATTAACTGACTCATTTATAGGTTTTCTTTTATGGATCCAAAGTTGACTTTATTTTATTAGTGAAGTCTGTCAGGAAGCTACTATATAAATGCTATATATACAGCAAACACTGACACCATGCTTAAAGTGCACCTGTATGGAGAACAGTTGGAGGGTTGCCATTCCTGGTCTCTTGTTTCTGGGCTGCATATGGCTTTAGTATTTTTGAGTGACCTGGAAGGGGTATGCTGTAAATAAATGACACAAGTGTCAGAATTGTAGCACCCTGCTAAATAGGTGCAGCGCTACCCTCTTGAGAGCTGCAGACTTTGGGTCCCCTCTATTTCCTGCACAGCCAGACAACACGCATTTTCCACTTGCATCCAGACACAGTCCATGGGCTTGATTTTTTAGTTTTATTAAGGGATTTAACTTATGGGATGCCCAACTTGATTGCAGAATACTAATTGAGCACAATTTCCTTCTCTAGAAAATACTAAGGAAATGGCAGATGAATGACTATGGTCCAGCCAGAACCAAGACTTTAGCAAAGTAATCAAGTTGCAGGAGCTCTGAGTCCCCTTGAATTAATTTGTAGCAATGTTCCAGCTTGTAGGAGCTCTAAGTCCCTTAAATGAACAAAATACCAGCCCATCTGACTACAGTATTTGATCCCAGGACACAGGATTTGGTAAGCTACAGTCAGGTCCATAAATATTGGGACATCGACACAATTCTAACATTTTTGGCTTTATACACCACCACAATGGATTTGAAATGAAACGAACAAGATGTGCTTTAACTGCAGACTGTCAGCTTTAATTTGAGGGTATTTACATCCAAATCAGGTGAACAATGTAGGAATTACAACAGTTTGCATATGTGCCTCCCACTTGTTAAGGGACCATAAGTAATGGGACAATTGGCTTCTCAGCTGTTCCATGGCCAGGTGTGTGTTATTCCCTCATTATCCCAATTACAATGGGCAGATAAAAGGTCCAGAGTTCATTTCAAGTGTGCTATTTGCATTTGGAATCTGTTGCTGTCAACTCTCAAGATGAGATCCAAAGAGCTGTCACTATCAGTGAAGCAAGCCATCATTAGGCTGAAAAAAACAAAACAAACCCATCAGAGACATTAGGCAAAAACATTAGGCGTGGCCAAAACAACTGTTTGGAACATTCTTAAAAAGAAGGAACCTACCGGTGAGCTCAGCAACACCAAAAGACCCGGAAGACCACGGAAAACAACTGTGGTGGATGACCGAAGAATTCTTTCCCTGGTGAAGAAAACACCCTTCACAACAGTTGGCCAGATCAAGAACACTCTCCAGGAGGTAGGTGTATGTGTGTCAAAGTCAACAATCAAGAGAAGACTTCACCAGAGTGAATACAGAGGGTTCACCACAAGATGGAAACCATTGGTGAGCCTCAAAAACAGGAAGGCCAGATTAGAGTTTGCCAAACAACATGTAAAAAAGCCTTCACAGTTCTGGAACAACATCCTATGGACAGATGAGACCGAGATCAACTTGTACCCGAGTGATGGGAAGA